CTTATCTAGCCGACAACTCGTACATCCGCTCAGGTTACCGACTGCACTACTCGGCACGTGACTGTTTCCTGTCGCTCTTTGAGCTGCACAATGAGACTCTGAACGTGTGGACGCACATGGTTGGATCCTTTATCTTCCTCATGCTCATGGTATATCTGGCGCTCTCGAGCCACGCGCTGTCTCCTGCGGCCGACACTGCGGCGCTTGCAGGTCTCACGACCCCGCAGGCCTGGTGCGATAATGGCCAGCAGTGGATCGTGGACGGCCGTCACACACCGCGAGTGCTGTTGTCCACGGGTCTGCCGGAGCTCTGCCCGCCTCCAGGCCGTGTGGCCCCCGCCAAGTACTATGAGGTAGCCAGCGTCATCTTCGACCACAGTCTGCAACGTCTACCCAGTTTGGAGCGCTTCCACGCCCTCGTGGAGCAGAACGTGGGCGGTTTCTCCGACTCGGTGGGCGCCCAGATGGAGCAGCTTCGCAGCGAGTTGGGCGCGTTATCTGCGCGTCTCGGCGGCCAAATGCGTGACGCTCATTCAGAACAGGTACGATCGCTCAAGATGCAGCTGGGCGCGCGCGTCGAGTCGTTGTCGGTGTTCCTGCAGGACGTGGCTAGTCAAGTTGGAGCGGACTTGCCCATGAAATACGCACTGGAGGAGCTGGACGGTGTGGCCGAGAGCGTACGCAAGGGACTTCACATCTTGGCCACCGCTGAGGGTCCTCACAATGTGCCGCACTGGCCAATCTTCGCCTTTATGGCCAGCGCTGTCATTTGCTTGACATGTAGCGCCACTTTTCACTTGATGTTCGTGGTCAGCCGCTCGGCCTACATGTTCCTATCACGTCTGGACTACGCTGGTATCACGATTCTCATCGCTGGGTCCTTCTACCCCATGATTTACTACTCGTTCTACTGCCACCCGTGGCTACGTAGCGCCTACCTCGTGTCCATCTCGGCGATGGCCGCGCTCACTTTCGTTGTGGCGCTTATGCCAGTGTTTAGCACGCCCAGGTTCCTCGTGGCGCGCACGTGCATCTTCCTGGCGCTGGGCTTCTTCGGTGTGGTCCCCGTGACGCACCTGGTGTGGCACTTTGGCCTCTTCGACCCTCACGTCACGGTCATGATCGGCCCGCTGTTGCTCATGGGACTGCTGTACACAAGTGGAGCCATCATCTACGCGACCAAGTTCCCGGAACGCTTCTTCCCTGGCCGCTTCGACCTGTGGTTCTCCAGTCACCAGCTCTGGCACATTTGCGTCGTGGCCGCTGCGCTCGTGCACTTCGCCAACGCTTTACAGCAGTACGAGTGGCGCTGGAACACACAGTGCGAGGCATAGCTAGAAGGAGAACAGTTCATGTATTTGGTCGCATATCGAGTTGACGCTGCTGGAGGAAGAGCGATAGCGGCTAAATAAGAGTGCGCCCACCTTATTTTTAACAGTTTCTTATCCGTCTGATCGCTATTTTGACCGTAATTCCCTAATTGAAGCTCATTCAGTGTTCTTGTTACTGTATTCAACATGAGTGGGTCTGAAAGTCCCGTGGCCAAGCTGCAGCTTGAGCTGCCACCAGCTCTAGGACAGGAAATCAAGACCACAAGACGCTGCTCGTTCGATGCCCAAGGTCGCTTTGCAGTATTCGAGCAGGCTTTAGCAGGAGAAGCGACTTTATCGGCCTCTCCTCGAGCACACAACATTCAGCGCCTCACGCCGTCGTATCGATCCCCACGTGACCAAGATCGCTATCCGCGGTTTGCAACTACAGCAACGAAAGGGGCCGTGGCTGCAAGACTGGGACTGGCAATTCAAGCAGCACAACAGAACTCGCCCACGACGCGGACACCGTATCGAGCTCCGAGTGACCACGAATTCCGCGAACCAGTTTCTCCACTCAAATGGGCCCCACAGGCCAATGGCCGGGACTTCCAGACCAACTTCACATTGCCCAGTAACCAAGACATTCGACGGCGCACTGCACGAGATCAGGAAGGATTCTTCGGAGCCGCCCCAGGTGAAGACTTGAAGCAGGAAATAGTGATAGCAACTAAGCCGCAAACTGCTCGTTCACCAACGAAGTCGTCACGTGGTAAGCCGGAGTTCACGTCTCGAGTGACGCACACGTCTCGCAAGAGTGCCAATAAAGCGCTACGACTGGAGATAATTCTTGACCAAGAAGGTTTGCTACCTCAGCTCCAGGAGATCCGACAGCACAGGTATCGCGACGAAGTGGTAAGACTTTGTCCTCCTCACACAACTATTCGGTACTCGCATGACACTCACGGGTATTGTACTTCTTTGTGATAGGCCAAGTCACCCGTCCCATTCCTCGCGAGCTTCCGGCCTGCATCACCACTGCAGCCGATGTCACCGCACTGAATCCGTGAGTCTTTACCATTTTGTCACAGCTATTCATTCCTCCCACACTGGACGGATACATTTCCACAGAAGACAAATACACATGAGCTTAGTTGCCATCAAAATGGGGTTTTACTCTCGCTTACCTTGTTCGTCTGCAGAAAAGTCGAATTGGTGGCGATTTGCTGCCTCGCGTACCGCTTCAAGCCCCGACAGGTCAATTCTAGTGTACACCGGAGGCGGTGATGGGGGTCGTGTCCTGTTGCTGCTTGACGTTCTCCGTTGTATGGATAGTGAACTCTGCTCTTCATCTGCGTAAAAGTACCAACCAGTAAGTTAATAGGAAAATAATGAGGAAATCTGAGTGATAAGTACGCACGGGTATCGGATAGGAAGGCGAATTGGTCGTGACGAGGTGCCACAGGATCGACTGTTGTGTCTTCGGCCTCACGATTAGTGACAATTGGTGGTGGTTCAGACGGAGGAGTTGTTCTAGTCGACGGGGACTGAGCACGCTTGAATAACTTCGACAATCGCTTTGGTGCTGGTGGTTCGTGCACACTGGAGCTTTCGCTCTTGCTCTCTTCGCTGCCACTAACTTTGGAGCTCAAACGTTTTGACTTGCGAGGCAAGGAACTCAATCGAGGCGAAAGCTGACGGAGTAAAGCTCGTTCACCAGCTTCAACTTGACTGTCCTTGTTGCTATCGGATATTGAAGACTTCACCTGTCGACTTCGGATACGCGACAAAAAGCTCCGTCGAGGTGACTCAACAGCAGCATCAGTAGTGGATAACGATACATCTTCCTTCTCTTCAAGCAAGTCGTCATCGTTTACGGACTCTCGGTTGATAATTTCCGCTTCTGTCGGTGCAAACACTCCCGGTTCGATATCAGCTTGAGTTAGCGAGGCTGACACGAAAGGAGAAGTAGACGGTAAGAGTGCTGCGTCAACTTCTTCGGACGATGAAGACGGCATGAACGTAGATGGGAATGTCGGCATACGGGTGAACAATTTAGAAAGCAGCACTGGGCTCACTGGTGGGGCAGACTCTCCTCCACTCTCGGCAGCACTCGCTATCCTTTCATCGATATTCTCACCGATTGTTGCGCCTTCGACTGGGAGCTCGCTGTAGATGCTGCCCTTAGGTTCTTCACTGGGTTCCATGATATCGATCGCTGGGGCTTCATCACCTCCGATCCCTTCCTGCTGTGCTGGACGTTGTGCAGGTGGAGGCCACACACTCCTAACTGGTCGGAAGTAACCAACAATCATCTCTTCACTGTCCTTGCTATCTCGATGCTGTGGCTTATCCTCATCATCGAAAGGCACAAATTCTTCAGCAGAGACTGAATGGGTTCTCTCCTTCATTCCTTCAGACGTCTGCGCTTCCTGATCGTCAGGAGTAGACACAGTCATGTTGGCCAAAGACACAGTTCCGCCTATATCATCTCGTTTACGCAACGCCACATTCAATCGATGCAACAACTCCAAGCGTTCCTCGTAATGGTGCAGTGATTGCTCAACAGACGGCGTGGCTTCTTGGAGATTAATGTCTTCGTCCTCTACACGCTTCTCGTTAGTATCTTTTGGCGGCGTCTTCTGTTCGTGGACTTCAGCGTGGCCAAAGTATCGTTCAACTTGAAAAATATTACGTGCTCTTGCTTCTTCCACTGCGCGACTTTCGCGTGGTATCAAGAACCACAAGAGTTGAGCTCCTAGCCAAAAACATAGTACTCCGATCAGCCAGTAGCCAATTCGACGCTCAATTGAGATGTCAGCGAAATTATCCACGGTGAAAAGCGCTAGCGAAAGTGCTACCGGTACGGAAAGTTTGACCATGAGCAGCATATAAGAAGCCCAGAGATCTGGCTCAACGTCATATTCCTCTGGTTCAGGTCGCTGCCGTATACAGCAAAGCTCCAGCGCATTTTGCCGTATCTTGACAGCACAATCGATTAGTGCCAGCATTGGTAGCAATGGGCAAACACTCGAGAACATAATTATCAGTCCAATTTGCATCACAACTTGTGCGTAATCCTTGCCGGGACCTGGATAGGGGGACAACATCGTCTCCTCTTCGTGTTCTTTTCTCTGATCTCCACGTTGAATTATGTGGAAGCGTCTAAGTGCAGACAAAATCAAGAAAACACGAATGCTCAATTGCACTGCAAAGATTGCAATCAGCAGAGTCTCCATCTGAATAAAGACGCCAACGTGACCTTCAATACGAGCGCTGTAGGACATGTACAGAGGAATAAGAGGAGTCAAGAACTGTACCGGTAGCGCCAATCCACCCACACCACTCAGCATTAATAAAATCAATCCACTGAAAGTGTTAACTAGTTGCAATGCGAACAGTTTGGCCACAAAAGAACGTTGATAACCATGATGATCACGGGAGTAGTAAGGATTCTCCCATTTGCTGAGAGTAGGAGCCACATAGGGAATACATGCGCCATTCCACTGAATCAGCAAAGCCTGACAAATACAGGAACTAAGAACTGCAACCTTCTCACCCCAAACATCAACGAGTAATCCTTGACTAAGAAGCACCGTGAGTGTCACCAACAAGTTGACACCTCCCAGAATCAGAACACACAGCCACGACACAAGTTGTCGCTGAGCAGAAGAGCACAACGATCGCGTGTACTCGATACCATGATCAGCATTGTAACGTTGAAAACTATCGGTTTTGGCAGCGATATCCCATTGGAGCTGGTACCATACACTCCTGCGTTCCCATAGTTTAGCTAACGAGAAACTCCAAACAATCACTAAGACACCAAGAAGGAGCTCGGGTAACGGAATTGTGGTATCGATCTTGCCAACCTCTGTACTGCCACCTTGAATGTAAGTCGGAGGGATATAGTAGTCCCACAACGAAATCATCAGTGAATGTTTGGTTTCGCTGGTTATTGCGACTATCGCAATAATTGCAGGTATCATCATCATCTTGGCGTAGAATGCAAGCCATGCAAAGTAGAATCCAATCTTCTCTCCGAAATAGTCTTTCACATCTCGTAGTGGTTGTCGAAAGGGAGCAATTCTACCGATGAGGTTCAGAATTGCATGATCATCAGGATAAAATTCACCTGGAAGGTGAGTAGGACTCCAAAAGTTTATCCAAGACGAAGCTAAGGCACTGCGAGAGTTAAAATCAAATCTGCTAGAGCTGTGGAGACAGTGAAAGGACGATAGTAAACCACTAGCGATCGCGTTGTTCGTATCAAACTCTGCATCGATGATGCGTCTCGTGACACGGATACAATCCACAGTACGCAACACGGTAGAACGGCGATATGTATCTGGTATATCGAGTTTGTGAGGATATTTCTTGTAGATAAACTGGCGTTGGATGTTCGGCGAGTAGCTTGCAAACGCTGGAGCGGAATTGTGACAACGAATCAACCCCTTCGAAACACGGGATATTCTCGAGAGAGCATGTATACGAGCAGATACACGCGCCAGTGACTCACCTGGAAACCACACAGCTTCCTTAGGAGACATGGCATTCTCCGCCAGCAATATCTTTAACTTGTGCTTGACAGTATTTGCATCAAGAACCTTCTGGTCTGTATTCACCTCCTTCTTATCGCGCCAGAAAGACCTTCCAGGGTCAATTGCATCGGCGAATTGTAAGCGATACGACTCAGTCTCGCACGAGGTCGCTAGTAGGAGGTTGTCGGACGCAGAAATACGGACTAGAAGGAGCTGACCGTCTTCAGATACACTCAGACTCACGTCTAATTTGCAGATTGCAGTGAGTCGCCGTAGCATGAGAGTGCGTACAATTGCACTAAAGTCACTTGAAGAAACCACAACGCGTGGAGTACGCACGTCTGATAGAACTCTCCCTGTTCGACTAGACCATTCCTTCTCAAACGCTTCACGCTCTGCTGCCATACGATCCGGGTCTCTCACTCTCAACGATCTCAGATAGACTTCGAGGACTTCTTCATAGTCCAGAGGGGGTGATGATTCCTGGATTATAGTTTTCACTGTCATTGTCGTTAGTTCATTGCGAGATACACAACAGACAGAAGACAGCATATTCTCGATTGCTTGGCGAAGAGGAGGTAAAAGGATCTGTACGAGAAGAACCAACTTGACTCCTATCGACCACGACAGATACGAGTTCGTGAAGTTAAATGTCACCATTAGCAGTGCCACAAATTCATGCTGACAGGAGAAATCAAATTCTGCAGGTTCTTCACTGGAGTTCATACCCACGCATACGTGTGAAATCCAGCGCTCAATCGACGAACATGTTTCCGCTGACGCCTTTATATATACTTGTCGAAGTTCTCGTAGCTGTGTCTGATTGGTGTCGGGTCCAATTAATCTGGCGGCCAATTTAAAAAACTCTCCAAGCATGAAAACTTCCGAGCATACAGCAATAACAAGCAGTACTCCTGCTACTTGTTGTTTCCACCCACACCCAATAAAGAGTGCTGCAAGCATCGCCGATATCCCCGACAGTAGACAAATCACCATTACCCACGCGAAGAGAGAGTGAAAGTCTGCAATAGAGCAAAAGTGGAGAAGATCAGTACTCGCTGCTGTATTCAAAACACCGAACGATGCAGCCCCAAACACCAGCAAACGTGTAAGTGCCGTGAATAGATCGGAGAAAGATGATGCGTTTACTTTGGGTGACGAAAGCTTTCTTCTTCGCTTGGATTTGTCGGATACAACAGGGCCGTACACAATCAGAAACATACCCGTGAGCAGAACCTGTAGTGAAATCATCACGAGTTCGCCAATAATTATTGACTCAATAGCCTCATCAACTTGCACGCAGATTCTTAGGATATCATTGACACACGCTTTCTCCGTATCATCCCAGAGAGGAGAGAAAAATTCACGTCTGTCAATAGCGACGGACGTGTATTCAAGCTTCGCTGACGAACAATGTACACTGATCCACTGGAGAAACACACTGGGAGCGTCGAACACGAATCGCTGTACGAGCGACGGTATTGCCCCTCCATTGAGTATCACCTCGATCATGTCCTGCGAGAGCGAGTCTTCACTCCGAGCCAGCGCTTCTCGTAACTTACTGTGGCTCCTTCGGACGATAACTATCTCGTCTAGGAGCAAAGCCAGAGCAATAATGAGTGCAAAACCCACCACAAACAGCACGCGTGCACCATTAACGCTGCGTTTGTGAGCAACCACCCAGCCACCAATATCCTTCAAAAGTAGCAGCAGCATCGAGACTATTACAACGTTTACCAGTTTCTGGGATACTCGATCGTGTTCGTCGTATTTCCAATAGAGTGCACACCCCACTGCCGCCGTCAATAGCAGCAATATTATTGATAGCAAGAACAGTCTGCGTAGAACACACGCCACATGCGAAATCATCGTCGGTTTCTTCTCTTCTTGTGCTTTTCGCTCCGCCTCCATAGCTGCTGCGTGTGCTGCATTCCTCGCCGCCACTTTGCGCAGATATTTTTCCTCTCTCTGCTCGATAGCTGCCGTCATCTCCGTCATCTCTTGGAGCTGTACATAAGGTAAACATTAAAAAAAAAAAATGAAGGACACACGTCACAGATTTCACTCTAGTCGCACACCTTGTCTGGCGCGACGCTGTTGCCGCTAAGCTGGAACACCATCACGTAGTAGTAGCGCCACGGCTTCCGCCCGGCTGAAGCTCCGTCCACCTTCATCTCTGCAAGCGCCTCAATTGACGGCCATGCACAGCTCTTCAAGATACGTTGGATCCACTTTGATGTGGCGAACACAATGCTACACACAATTGACACTTCAAGAATGGAGATCAAGGTGCTGTACTTCGCGTCGGCGCGGGAGGAGATCGGCGCGCGCGAGGAGAAGCTGTCGCTGCCGGAGACTGATGGCGTCGTCACATTAGCTTCACTGCGTTGCCTGCTCATGGACAAGTATCCTCAAGCTGCGGCCACCATTGAGAGCATTACACTGGCGCGTAACCTCGAGTACTCGGAGGACGACGTGGCGCTGCAGGACGGAGACGAAGTGGCTCTGATCCCGCCCATCAGCGGTGGCTAAGCACAAGGCGAAAGCGTACAAGCGATCTACAATTAATACAAAACTTATGATTCTTTTAAAAGCGTTTGACGCCCACTGTACGCTGGAAAATGCTCTCCAAATCTCGACCCATTCCGACTGTAGGTGGTGCGACCAGCAGCTTTTGCGTCGTCCTGGAGCGCAGCCGCATGACCCATCGCAGACCTTTGTATAGAACCGTTAGCGCCGCCATGCTCACCATAAACTGGAAGATACGCACACGACGCAACCGACTCTTCTCTTCCTCTTCAGTCACCGGAGGCTCGCCATGTCGAGGATGACCCGGCGGGAATGTTGGTCGAGGCGCTAACATGGCCGCAATTCCGGCGCACATGGCTCCTATCCGCTCGAGAAAGTGCACAAAGCTCCCTGCAGACAGTGAAATACACAGGTGGTAAGCACCCAGACACTAAACGGCAAGTTAATACCGCAATAACCACGCACCGATGCAAAAGTTGAGTGCTTCTGCGTTCATGCCGAGCAGCTCAGTGATTTGGCCGATGGAGCTCACAATCTGGTTGAAGCTATTGAGCCATCCCAGGCCTCCACTGTTCGGATCCATCATACCACCCATACCGCCCATCATGCCGCCGTAGCCCATTCTTGACATGCCACCGTAACCTCCATACCCTCCGTACCCTCCATAGCCACCTCCGTAGCCTCCAAGGCCTCCATATGAGCTCATACCACCATATCCTCCGATACCTCCGTAGCCAGTGCCATACGTCGAACCCAGTCCTGTACCGTAGCCAGTAGCACCGTAACCTCCGTACCCCGTTGCTCCGTACCCTGTAGTACCGTACTGCGACGCAGTACCAAGCGCCGAGGCCCCATTCGTCGCAGCTGAAGCAATGGACAGCCCCGTACTACCAGCAACTACGGTGGAGGATACTGCTGAGCTACCGGAGGCAAGTCGAGAGGCCGTAGAGGCTGTGGACTGCGGTGTGACACCAGCAGACGCCAATAGGTCACCGCCTGCAAACCACAGAAAGCGTTAGAGAGAGAGATGGCGAATGAAGAGACGGGATAAATAGAGATAGCTTCTCACCTGCTTGGGCGGCCGCTGCTTGGCGCTTCTCCCAGGGCTTGGCGGGCGCGGCGTCGGCGCTGTAGCTCAAGGTGCTGGCCATTGCTCGTAATTTAGACTGTGAGTGAGCTTTCTCTTCCGATGAAAATACAGGGACTGCTGTGAAGTTGTAACATAGAAATTGAAGGTATTCGGAAGTACATTTTACATTTTCTATTTGAAACAAAGAGGGAAAGGGTTTAGACCTTGAAGCACCGCTTTTTGTCAACGTTGACACGTCAGTCGGGAGCCGATGGCATAGCAGTCTCAATCTATGCAGGTTTCATCTCCACGGGGGTCAAAGAATTCGGGACGCAAGCTTGGAGATAGCAATGAAGCCGAGTCGATGCTGTACCCATGAGCCATGTGCTGATGATGAACGTTCGCGCTGGATTGGCGACGCGGTGTCTCTGTGCGTCTGTTGAACGGAGTTTTGACGCAAGAAAATCTCGAACTACAGAGTCTGAACGATTTTCCACTGTCAGAAGGAGAAATCTGGCTGTCCCCGAAGACGGTATAGTGTCAGGATTAAGCTGGATCGCTCAGCGTGACACCAACCTAATTTGGGTTATTGGAAACGGTCGGCTGTGCTCTTTTTGCACTCAAAGCTCAGTCACGATGCCCTTGTGCTCAGCGTATTGATACCATCACATACAAGTATCCTTGCTTCGCGAGTATTAGCATAATGAGTGACAGCGAGGAAGATTCGTCCAGCACCAGCAAACAAAAATCCATTTTCAGCGGCATGGGCAGGTACGAGCAGATACAAACTCCCAACACACGCACTCAACTGCTCACTCCCTTTCTTTATTGCAGGGTAAAGCAGATCAATCATCTCCGTGAAAAGTGGAGCCCCAAGCCCAAATCTCCACTGCTCGACCGATCTTTCATGGACACCCCACCTTCCTCTCCATGGAGTCGACGTCCTAGTCCAGTCAAATATCCCTCGGAAGCGCCTAGCGAGAATGGACGACACACATTCCGTCGCTCCCAATCTGTGAGCGGATCACCAACACGGCAACCCGCGGTCACCATTGTGGACATGGAGCGATATCTCGCGATCAATACGTGGCTTGAACGTAATGGCATCAACGTTGCTCAAGTTGACACTTCAGGAGCAATTACACCTGAAAAATCTAAGAACTACGGACTCTTTGACGACATGTACTGCTCACTAGAAGTTCTCGAAAATTCTCTGAAGACCGATCTTTCCCATCTTGGAATTAGCGAAAGCGTCAAAGAGGTACGAGTTTCGAAGGTAGCTCAACTATCGCCCTTCATTCTTCTAATATGTTGGACTTCCCTTACAGGATTCAGGCTGTAGAAATCCTTCATCCCGTGCTCTCTTTGATTATTTAGCTGTGATCGGCACTGATATGCTTGATGTCAAGATTCGCAACTTCCGGAGCCAAAGAGAAAATGTTTTTGAGCCGACTGTTGCGTTCGCGCACCCACCAGAGAGTCAATTTAACGCCGAAAGCCTTGAACATTTTTGTTTTCCTGCCGGAATCAAACTTATCAACACGCGCAGTGAGACTTCAGATGAAAGTGCAAATTTTAAGGAAGGAGAATTCTTTGTTCTGATGATCTCCGGTGGAGGTATACAGGGTCAAAGTGTCCAATATGCCATGTGCATGAAAGGAACGATTATCATTCCTAGAGGCAGCGACGATGGAAAATGTCTGCTGCTACCGATCTGCTACTGCGTCATTGCGCAGATTCCATTTATCCCTTTCTTTCGAGCTCTGCTACAAGGATTTCTCGGTAAGTCATGCGCTGTGCATAGCAAAATACTCTTTTCTAACACGGTATTCACGGATTCACGACAGATAATATCCGAAATGAACTTGAGTCAAGTGCAGACACGATTCCCTCGAGTAGTATCGTGACTGACAAGGTGGGTCTTGTTTGCTTTGCTATATATCTTCTACAAAATACTGGAATTGCTCATACTCTCTGTAGCATGCTGGATTCATTGACGACGTTTTGCAGCGTCTTAAGGAACTTTCTCTTCCTGACAAGGGGTTGTCCATGCCTGTCGACGTATTTCCGCCAAGTCCCCAGCTAATACTGGTACGACCACACAAAGAAAACGATCTGGATGAGAAAGTTACGCTTTTGTTGCAGTGGGCTCTACCTTCGCTACTATCGCGATTGTCAATTGACCGGCTTCTTCAGATTTTGAGCCTTTTGCTTATCGAGACAAAGTTGATTGTGGTATCTGATGAGATCCCGCTCCTGTCGTCGTCTACATTGGGTTTAGCGTCGTTGTTGCACCCACTCGTTTGGGCTGGACCATTGATTAGCATTTTGCCGCCATCGATGCACGAGTATATGGAGGTCAGTTCCTAGTGGAGGCGTGAGTTCTGAGTGGATTGCATCAACGCTATTCAATCGCTAACCGTATTGCTTACTCTTTATTACAGGCTCCTGTCCCTCTTATTTGTGGTGTTGACGAGCTTCCTCGGGATTTCGAGTGCTGTAAAGGCACATGCGTCCTATATCTGATGGAGAATCGCGTGCAGCTTCATGCCGATGATGAACGTGCTTTTAGAAGCCGACAAATGCCTGGATTGGAGAATCTCTCGTGTGACCTCACGAGATTTACCAAGCAGATGCTGGGGCGAGTTACGGGCTCCTTTCGAGACAATGTTACGCCTCTATCAACTCATCTCGTAATTCATCGCGTTCGTCGACATATTGAGCATCTGATTAGTATGTGTGTACATACTACGTCTGGCTTTTGTCGAGACCAAGTCACAAATCACGAGCTCGATGCTAGTGAAACGAGATTCGCAGATATCTTCATGCAAACCCAGATGTACCAAAAGTATCAAGATGACCAGCCTATTACGATTCCAATCGAGCTAAGTACTCAAGAAGTGCCAACTCTTGAGACAAGAAACGACAAAATTCCCATAAAAGGCTCTTCAATCAACACTCAACACGATGAATTAAAGTCAGCAACCAGCATGCTGTTCCAAATCGCATTAGCAGGGGTCAGTATACCGCCACCAAGCAGCTCTCAAGTAGAAAGTATGCCCACCAGTATTGTGAGCGAAGAAATCGAGACTCCGAGCCTCGACATGGAAGCGTCACCAGTCGAAGATGAACCGGAACCAAGATCAGTGGCGCTCTCATCTACAGCTTCCTCTACGTTAGGTGCAGCAACCCCCTTTGTTTACCAGTTATTGTATATTATCTAACGAATTTGTGTCTAGCTAGAATCTTCCCCAGCTTGAAACTTTCACCAAATGAGATAGTGGAATCTCCAGCCAAAGGCTGTGAGCTGTTATCCCCAACGTTGAGTGAAGCATCTACTATTGAAAGAAAACCCGACAGAACTTTTATGTGGCCTGTAAGTCATTCCGAGTTTGATGTCTTCTGGGAGCCAGATGAAACGAGTGTTGCGAGCCCTGGAGGTTCTCTCGCGTTACATGTACTCTCCCCAAGAAGTCTGTCGTTTGAGTCTCCTTGCCGCAGTCCAAATTATACAAGGGATGCCACTTTTGTTGCAGACCCGGAAAATGCCGGTCGCAGTGGACCTGGAAGCGTAATGAAGCCTCACAGAGCTGACACGGAGACCACAATTTCGCTGTTTGACACTGCTTTAAGTGAAGCTTTGGGAAGTGCAGACGCAATAGATGAAACGTGGCTATTTGAGCCTCCAGATGATCCGAGACCAAACCTGCAGCAGAACGATGCCAGTGGTGACGAGCGATCTGCACACGAAAGTTTGACTGAAGATGATAATATTTTGGTATACAAGGAAAGCTTCGTTAAAGAAATTGGAACCGAACTCAACAATTCTCCTGTCGTAGCGCGGCGTTCTCGGCACGGGAGTTACCGGAACGCTGATCAAAGCAAGGACGACGGACCCAGAGACTGTATTCTCACAGCTGACCAATTTAGTGTGCTGGTGACAGGAATTAGTGTTCAATCGGTACGTGAGTTTCGTACGAACTGAATGCATTTTTACTTAACGTTCATATCGTTGTGCACATGTAGCGTGGTGCGTGGGAAGGATGGTGTGAAGGCCAAATGTTCATTTCTTCAGATCTCAAGACTCTAACTTGGGAGCGACATGCTGTAGCATTTGCTGCACTCAACATGAACATCGCAGACATTACAAGAGTCGCATTTGAAGACCAGCGAACAGCTTCACCCTGTGGATCGAGGCAACGTCGTGTCCAGTTCACTTTCACTAGTGAAGCCATCTACTTTCAGTTTTCAATTTCTCCCCAACACGACGTGTTTTTCGACATCTTCAAGCAACTTATTCCACCGACTCAATACCTTGTAGAAGGCCAGCAACAGTCATTTCCACCTCTATCGTCGCCCGTAGTTTTTAATGATAGTCACTGTGAAACTACCACTACCGACATCACCCCGGCGCCAAGTTTTCTAGCTCCATTGGTGTCGGAAATCGACTTGTTCAAGCAAAAACTCCAGAGAGGATTCCTGGTAGAAAAGGTGAGCTTGATCGGCTATTTCTTCAATTGTCCTTACCTTCGTCTCATCTTGTTGTGCTTTTTTTCTCGGTAGCACGGTCGCTTGGGAAGGCCACACGCCAAACTTCTCTTCACCGATGCATTGTGTTTCCACATCATGTGGAGAAAACCTCCTGCATCGGGTATGGATGATCAATTCAAACTAGACCAGATTGATCAGATGCAGCGTCGATCCACTCTGTTCTCTCAGGATAAAAGCATTGCAGTTGACAGTATTACCGCCATCGTAACGGGAAAGCAGACGGCGGTATTTCGCCGCGCCACTGCGAGCAAGTCGAATGATCGCGTTTGCTTATCGATTCTCACCCCGACACGAACGCTGGATATTTGTGCCTATTCGCTGCAAGGATTCCAAGAACTTTATCGCGGATTCTCATTGCTAGTACAAGAAATTAAACGAACACGTGACGGGTTAGACTGATCAACGACGCGTTTTCTAATTATTTTCAGTTACATGTATCCCGCAGATAAGCTGTGAGTTCGTCTCGTAAGGCGACGATTTGTGTTAAATTCCGAGGTTCTTCTTCCGTTGATCCTTTAGAAGAGGAGGCTGTAAACCTCGTTGATGCCTTAATAATCTGCTTCATAATTGAAGAATCGACGAACTGCTTGTTGTTCCGAGCTGAGCTGGCAAGGAGAAAAGCCTCAAACTGCTCTAGCTCTCCAAATCCCAGCAAACACGATTCCATTTTCAAGAATTTCGTTCCACTCTCCACACGGTCCTGCAATGAAAACGAGAATGGTTAAAAGTTTTGACATGTGAGAAAAAAAAAACGATACGTCTGTGATGTTTCAACAAAAGATCGCAGCGTACCAGAAGCGACTGGGGATATAGTGCACCAGAGAAATACATGCGGTAATTTTGGACTCGAGCCGACATTTTGGTCTTGATTTCACCCAGGGACAGCTCTACGTCTGCGTCCACCGTGACAAGATGATTTTCGGTCTCCTTCTTAAGCTCATAGAGTAAATAGTAGCTGAAGTACAACGTATAAGTCAGGCAATACCATGATGACACAAACACAACGGGCATGAAGCTGGTAGTACCTGAATGGGGATATGGATTCGAAGAAACCGTCACATCCAACTTGTTCGAGCTTTTTGAAGGCAGCGATAGCGCCGCGTAATGCATCCACCACTTGCTGAAACGCATCGCGCTCTAGTGGGAGCATATTCTCTTCCACAAACGAGCGGGGGTCCTCGATCTCAATAGGAGACGTGCACAGCTCTGGGAAATAATCACAGAGAACGGCGATAGCTGTCACTAGATCTTTCTTCTCTGCAATCTCATCAACCGAATTCGTCAAATTCGGGACTCTGGCTTCTCTCCAGAAATCGGAGAAGCTTCTTCGGATCTGTGCTGCATGATTGGCGAAATCCAACACGCGGACACTGGGCTTGTCCTTGTGACGACGATTGAGACGACTCAGGACCTGCACCGTGTGTGCACTGGAGCGTAAGTAGCGATCAACGTACATACACGCGAGTAAGGGCTCATTGTAGCCCGTATCGAGTTTTTCACAGACAATAACGACGTCACTGATGGCGAGTGTGACGCTCCGGTTGTTCAGTGTCAGCTCTGTTACGGACTTTGCGCTGCTTCCAGCTTCATCCAAAGCCACAGAGCCACTGAAAGCAGCATAACAATTCCATCCAATCTTTTTCTTCGCGACGAACGTAGTGATCAGCTTGTAGTATCGCACGACATCTTGACGATTACGCACCACAATCATACATTTCACCTTCGGGTGTTTTCGTTTCATAGATCGGAAATCTGTCATCATTATCAACGCCTTGGCTTTTAACACGGCAACATCGTCACTTGCATAGTCAAGAATACGACGTCGAGCCCCATGATGCGTTTGCAACAGTTCTTGTACTGGTTTGGGGAACACTGAAGTCTCCACCTCACAACGCACACAGGTGTAGTCGTCAAGGATGTTCATAATCCGACCGTCATCTGTGGCCTGAGCAATCGGGTAGCAATGAAATGGATGCCTAAAGCCATCATCTGTCTGAGTACCAAACAGTTCGAGAGCATCGCTGTTCGGTGTCGCTGTAAATCCGACGAACTGCAGATTAAATGTTAGTCAATGACGAAGATACAATGCAGTTCACCCTCGTACCGTGAGTCGAGCATGACTGCCTTCTCCCGCCTTCATGACCTTCTCAATAGCGTCCCGTGTGGATGACGTATGTGATCGATGCGCTTCATCTGTGATGATCGCCACGCGCTGGAACGGATCATTCTCAGCTTCATCCTCTTTAGTACCTGCTTTTACACTCGAACTACGATGGAGTAGCCTCGTTAGCAACACGTCATCTTTTACCAGCAGCCCCATCTTGTGAGTTGTAGTGATGATCACTCTCTGAGGACTCTCTTGCTGCTGTGCGTCCAGCAATTTAGCCAGATGCTCGATACTCTCGGCTCGAAAGACCTCGTCCACTCCATTGCGATGAAGATACGTCTCCACTGCGTCTCCCACCTGCTCGTTCAGCTTGACTCGGTCCAGCATGACTACGATAGTGTGGAACCTCAAGGACAAAGGGTCCTTCGCGGACAGCAGCTGATGAGAGAGCGCTGCAATGGTCAGCGTCTTGCCTGCACCGGTGCTGTGTTGTAATAAGAATGCCTCTGTCCCTGTGGACACTTCGTCGTCTTCGATTGTCCTCGACTGAATGGCTGTAATGATATTCTCCACTGCTGTCAATTGGTGTGGCCATGGAGTAAACACCACAACTCTCTTCGTCCCGCGGGTTAAGGAGCTACCTCCGACGCGCATGGAAGTAGTGATAAGAGTATGAAGGACGCTGTTCTTGTGCTCTACAAGTGTAGTTTCATCAGGTTGATCGAGTTTCTGACGCTTGCGGAGTCGATCAGCACCACTCTCCTCTTCTGGTTCTATTGCAGCTGATGCAGCGTTGGCGGCTGCAACTTCTTCAGGCGTGGGGCGAGACCACTGCGTCTTCTTGGTGAGCGTGTGGTAGTAGTAAACTTTGCTCTTGGAGCGGGACACACGTACCAGCCACTCCGATGGCAGTGGCGTCAGAGTCATGTTGCTGACAAAAGCCGCATAAATGACAAAAGCTGCATGATTTTGGCAAAAATGATGTGCTGCACCACAACTTCATGTGGTGCACTTGGATTTTAAGGAGGCATTTTTTAGCTTGGTTTCACTATTCAACGTGATTACGGAAGAGGCCGCCTCTCAGTACAAAAGTCGCCAAGTTTCCCCCGAGTGTCCACGTACCAGAACCCAAGATGCAGTTCCGCACCGCGTTGCTGGCGCTCGCGGCCTTCGCCTTCGCAGCACAATGCGCACAAGCCGAACCTGTGAAGCTGACCGAGGCTACATTCGATCACCAAACGACCAAAGGCGTGTGGTTCGTCAAATTCTACGCGCCGTGGTGCGGTCACTGCCAGAAATTGGCACCGACCATCGACGACCTGTCCGAAGCAGCGAAGGACATTCACGTGGCCAAGGTGGACTGCACCAAGGAGCGCAGCGTCTGCGAGCGCTTCAGTGTAGGCTCGTACCCGACCCTCAAGGTCGTGACCGACGGCAAGTCGTACGACTACAATGGCCGTCGCGACGTGGACTCCATGCTCGCGTACGCTACCGAGGGCTACAAGAAGGACTTTGGAGAGCGCATTCTGTCCTACGCTGAGTTTGTGGAGCAGCGCAAGGCCGCAGCTGCCGAGCACGAGGAGAACGAGCGCAAGAGCGCTGTCGTGCACCTCACCACCACATCGTTCGAAGAGCAGGTGCTGCCTGGCAAGGATCCGTGGCTCATCAAGTTCTACGCGCCCTGGTGTGGCCACTGCAAGCGCCTCGCACCTACTTGGAACAAGCTCAGCCGCACTCTCAAGGAGAACGGCAGCAACGTCCGTGTGGCCAAGGTGGACTGCACTGTGCACCGCCGCGTGTGCTCGCGCTTCGGTGTAAACGGCTACCCGTCGCTTTTCTACATTAACGATGGACAGGTGTACAGATACAAGGGCGGTCGCTCGCTCCCTGCGTTCCTTGACTTTGTGGAGAGCGGCTGGAAGAAGGCCGAGTCGACTGGACCGATCCCTGAGGAGGGTTTCTTCTCCAAGATCGTCGATATTACCATCGAGTGGGCCACGGAGCACACTGTGCTGGCTGTTCTGGCAGGCATCCTGGTAATCGCCATCGTTGTGGCCATCTTGGTGGCTCTGCTGGACTACTGGCTTGGTGCTGACGATGTGGCGCAGTACAAGAAGGCTCTGGACGAGAAGGAAGCGGAACAGAAGGACGGTGAGGAACTCCCGCCTAAGGTGCCGTCTGCAGCGGAGGCCAAGAAGACTGGCCAGAAGCCCAAGGACGAATAACAGGATTACGTAGGGTCTATGCTGCTTGAAACGCTGATCGATAGAAAGGAGAAAAAAAATAGCCGCCTTACAGGCAGACTGCATGTAGCTAGTACGTTAGTTAGGACCTCATCAAGGATCGACAATGAGCATGTACAGCTTTCCGCACTTTCGTAGCGATCTTTATGTTGCAGGGGTGTTTACGACGGACGTCCAGTATTCGATGACCTCCAGGAACCACATTGGCTCACGTTGCAGCTTGGCATCCAACTTGACAACCTGATGCGCCACCAACGTGCGTACTGATACTGCTGCGTCTGTCTTAACTTTCTGCATCGGACCGATAGCCATGATGTAGTCACCTAAATGAAGTTTACAAGGAAGTCAGCGCCTAACTCTACGTCTCCTGTTGACATTGCCACCGACCCAATTGCGGTCGAGCATCGACTCCTGGAGGCGCATTTTTTAGGAAAACCTTGAGCTCTAGTCGCAAGACGCCAGTGCCGTCGTCTACAGTGCATTGCTTCCGCTCTTCAGACGTTGCGACCACGACGCCCTACATGGAGTAAAAAGGCTGTAATGAGTGAGGTATTGATAGGTTGGTTGTATGCAACTTGAGCTGTCAACCTGAACCCAGAGGCGAGAGCATTCGACACCGCTGATGGTGGGTGTAGAGCGGCTGGAATACCGCAGCGCGGAGTAGATCTGTCCCGCGAAGGCTTTGGCCGTGCTGCCGCCGCGTTTCGGAGCAGACATGGCTACACTTATGACAGTGTGGTCGGCCAATGAAAAGCTGAAATGGCACATAGGTTGTGCAAGATTAACGTCAACTAAACACACCACAACAGCAGCAACATCGATAGAATATACAGAACGAAATGGTAAGGAGGAAGGTCATTAGTGCAAAAAGAGAGCTGGCTGTGCTCGGTTGTCGCTTTAGGCTGTATCAATCTCGAGCTGTGCCTTAAATGAGCTTCTGCGTTACTGCAGCACCCTTGAGTCCAGCCTGTTCGATGGTCTGTGCCAAATCCGTCGACACAGGACGAGGCGGGAAGCCTGCCAGCAGAGTGTACGGCTGTGTGCCTGCATCGTTCCTGCAGCAACAATAACATCAGCATGAGGATGTCATCTCAACTCAACCATAGCAACTTCAACTTCTCCACGTACAACTGAATAATGGCATGCAGATCACGAATAGTGTGGTCCAAGTTGAGCGTCTCTCTGAGTCTCTGGCCATTGTGCAGACGGATCTGCAGCGTTGTCGAGGGTTTCTTGTCATCAATCACGGGGCGTTCCGCCGGCACTGTGTCCCCTTGGATCACTTCCTCAGCCGCATACGTCGTAGAGCCCATGGTCTGGCCTTCCCCGCTGAACGCCGTGTAGGCCGGTGGGGGAGGTGATACGTAGTCTTCCTGTCGCTTATCAACAAGACTGATCTCTACAGGTTCGTGGCGGTTCTCGCCTTCGAGCTCTTGCGGCACATGGCCGCTCTCCAGCGCCTCAAGGAATGGGCGGTTGGACGGATCCGAGCGCGCACGGTACGGGCCATCATTGACCGTGAATCCTTCCCTGTAGAACGTGATCACATGACGTGGCTGCGTAGATTCGCCAGCCGCAGCAGCAGCGCGAGCGTCCTGCTGAGCCCGGCCGATGATGTTGGCCACGTGGTCATCACCGCCTCCAGGCCCAATGACCGATAGCCCACTACCGCCGCCACGATCCGAGGCACCACCTGCATAGTACTGGTTGGGTTGGTCACCGTCCTCCCGATCGTCGTTGTGGTTGTTATTAAGGCTTGAGAGCCCAACGATGTTCGCCATGTTGCTGTGGCTCTATTGAGAACTGGGGATACTTCTCGAAGAGCTTTCTAAAATCTCGAAAGAGTGACTATGGTTTAATGATGATATTCAGAAAAGTGACGATGATGACACTACCTCGCTACGTTTTATTGCTACGCGAGTGCTGTCCGTTGATGAGCAATGTGCGACTTGAGCGAGTCGCTTGTGGCAGAAACGTCGGCTTCAGCCACGGAGAAGTCGGTGTTACGCGCCTTGGAGAAGCCTGCGTACATACGTTCAAATTGCAGACGTGCGGCCTCGGATGTTGAAGGCTTGGCGTTCTCGAACGACGTCTGCACATGGGTCTTGTTAATGAGACTGCAATAACAAGAAAGAAGAGTGAGTCGAAGTTGTACAGCGTGATACTGAATTGCCAATAGAAAACGTACTTGGACCCGTCGCCGTTTAACTTTTCGTGCACAAGTTCCAGCTGCGCTGAGTACATGATCTGCGTATTCAAGACACATACATCAACCAAAAAAGCATCAAGCGAGGGTATACATGCTCAATACGTACAGCTTGCAGGTCCGCGCCCGAGAAGTGAGCGCTTTTCGGGGCTCTTGCAATTTCAGGAAGATACTCGAGCGCTTCATCGGACAGCTCCATGTCCTTCGACACAGCACGAAGGATGTCCAAACGCTCTTCCTCATTCGGAAAACCTGCAAAGAATCGATACCGAATGAATGAGTACCTAAACCAACACCCCAGATTTCAGATATCTCGTCGTCCATACGCACCGCAGTATAGGGATTTGTCAAGGCGTCCAGGTCGAAGAAGAGCTGGATCAATCATATCCGGTCGACTTGTAGCCGCCAGCACGTACACTCCCTGCGAGGCAGAGCAACCAACGTTAAATATGTCACATACACCAGCAAATACTAAGCAGCTTACCTTTCTGGCTTCAACTCCATCCAAGAACGTGAGCAATTGGTTCACCAAACGATCTGTGACTCCAGTATTATCGGCACCGCGACGAGGAGCAATCGAATCGAACTCGTCAAGGAAAAGCACCGACGGAGCAGCTGAGCCAGCACGCGCAAACAGGTCGCGGATGGCTTGTTCACTAGCGCCGATATACTTGTTCAATACTTCAGGGCCCTTCACACTGATAAAGTTCAAGCCACACTCATGCGCCACTGCACTAGCCAGTAGAGTTTTGCCACATCCAGGGGGGCCATAGAGCAGCATACCAGCCGGAAGCTTGATCGGTGTATTGTCGTATAACTTCGCATATCGAGTAGGAAGCTCCAGCGTGTCTTTGAGCACTGTTCGCACATGTTTTAACCCTCCCACGTCGCTCCACTTTACCGAGCTCTTAAAGAGATCAACTCCAATTAATGCCGTCGGCTGGAAGTCTTCAATGCCTTCCACAAAGTCGCTCTGCTGGACCTTGTGAATCATCTCGGAGCGCTTGCTCGGCTGTAGAGCGTTGCGTTTGAACATCTGATGCAAGGCTCGGTCTGTAGCGCTTGACAAGTCACGGAGACTGTAGCCCTCGGTCAACGATGATAGAAGTCCAAAGTCAATGGCAGGATCAACGACAATTTGTCGCGAGTCCTCCGTTCCTTTGCCAGTTGAGTTCGCGTTGTCTACCTTCATATTCAGCATCTCGCGAATCAACATTTCACGCCGCTCTGCATCCGGTGAAGTCACTTGAATGGGGCGATCAAAGAGCCCACATCCTCGCAATGTCTTGTGTATGCTGGTGTCAGATCGAGCGGCGGCCACAACAACCACACTTTTGCTCTGCATAGCATTGCCTACTGTCTCCAACAGCTTCCTTCGTGCGCGTTGTTTCAGTTCTTCAGATAAACCCTTGATGGCTTCACACTCTCGTTTAAATGATGCCTTCAACTCCGCTGTTGTCTTCCACATGCGCTGACAGTTCTGGTTCATTAAAACCAATAACAGCTCTGCTATACGTCGCGATTGCTCGTTAGCAGCACCTGCCGACTCGTCTTCTTCCGGCACTAGCGCGTCCAAGTTATCCAGGACAATCAAAGCAGGCGCATGGGTATCAGCCTCTTCAAACACCTCGTTCAGCCGAGATTTCACCGACTCCATCTTGAGTCCTCGTAAGTTTCGGCACTCGACCGTCGTTGTGTAAGCTGAAAACTTCGATGAGGACTGAACCTCGTGCACCAAAGCGCGTAAGAGTGTCGATTTACCGCTGCCTCGCTCGCCATGCAATAAGGCACATCCTGGAGGTTTTGTACCCAGCAGAACTCGCGCAGCTGAAGCGTCTTGAGATAGCACAGGTCGCACAGCTTTCATCAACGTAGAGTAGCTCTTCGCGCTCCGTGATAAATCCAGCACTGATAGATTCAACGTGCTAATGGACGAAGCGTAGCTCCGCGCTTTCGCTAGCACTTTTTGCTGGGGACCGGCAGCACTCTTCACGGTCAATTGGTTCATCGATAGAACGTGTCCATGGCTCCCACCCAGCACAGTGTATTTCTCAATAGCACCAACTGGAACATCTGCAATAGAATCAGTGAGTAAACGAAAATATTGATCATAAGCAATGGAGACCAGCTATTTACCTTTCAGCTGCTCAGCGTTGAAAACTTCTTCGGCGTCGTATTGGACGTCAGCAACTGCTTCGACAGCTTTTCCATTATCCAGTTCAAGACAAAAAACTGAGCCTGAGCTGATCACATGACTACAGTTGGGTGAGCTACTCCAGCGCAGAAATGCTTGTTGGACGTGACCAGTCAGTGTGGAGTTAGCACCATTGGGGCCTTCTGGATTGATGAATAAAGTCACCGAAGAAGGCGGGAGCTCCGGTAGCTTTAGAACGCGAAGAAGAATTGACTCACGCGCTCGGGTACCCAAGCTGGCAGTCGCGCCTTGGTTTAAAGCGATGTGGCCCCGCACAACGTCATAGGAGGCTTTCAATCTCGCGACATAGCATACAGGTTGTTGTCTAGCACGTCAAAGAAGTGCTGCATTAGCATCGAGCATATTTCAACAAAGGCAAATTATTGACGATGCACCTTGTGGGTTTGCTCTCGTTAGTTTCGGATACGACACCGGTCGTCGACTTCGAATCAGGACTCCAAAGCGCTACGACAGGAGCTTCTTGCGCGTCTGAAGGAGCGTCAGAGATCACTGCTCCATCTAGCATGGCTAGAAATTCCGGATGAACCCACACCTCGTCAACCGTATCATTTCGGAGCGTGCCTACACTTTCCTATAAGAAAAAACACGCATCAGTAAATGAACAGCAGCATTCGCAGTAGAGGTCATAACTACCTGAACAAGCAACGATGGGGACTGCTCGTAGTACAGATCGGGGCTCATGCCACTCTCTGTCGTTTGCACCTGACGTTCTTTTGGTGCCACAATAACCTCCGAAGCTGGAGTCAAGCGAGCATGCTCCCTACCAAGTACGCAAAGCTCAGTCGTTAGCGAAAACTAACGACCGAATTGACCTAGTAAAGTCCTACTCACATCCCAACTGGAAGCGAAGCCCGAATGCGAATGAGCGTGTTCTGGTTGATCCAGATGGGACTCACTTGCTTGTCATTGACCACGCACATCTGGCACCCACACAATATCTTCGTCATCAATAACTTCATACAAGCATGCGCAACTCATCGACCGATACCTGTCGAAGCAGCTCCGTCTCGACAGCCCCAGCATGCAATTGAATCAGCTCCCAGTCGTCCGGCGTGCAAGGCTCAACGCTCACTTGTCGCGCAATCGGCAACGCCTCCACCACATGCACCCCAATAAAAGCCTGTGGCATCTTCTCCAAGTGGTCTTGCTGCATACCAAACCGATAAAACCTAAATCAACGTCATCCGAAGCAGCTGAATTCTCCAAGATTTCTCCTTACGATGCCTACACAACGCGCTAGCTCGATAGGCATTTCAATGATGTCACTGCAACGCACAAATCCCCGGTTATAAACCTCTTCGTCAATGTTCTCCGTTGTCCATTCTCCTTCAAACCTGCGTAGAGCTCCGTCCTTAACGATACCGCCAATCCAGCCAACACAAACGCGCTGTACATATCCATCTAGTGTCTCCCACGAGAGCTCCAGGATCGTAGCCCCCGCGACACTCATCTAAACAGCTACAAGTTAGTACAAAATGCAGTAGAATTTGCTGCAATTTGGAGGCGACGCACCAACTCGGGGCCGCCCACGAAGGCCTGCACAAATGCAGGCGGGAGGTTAACGAAGCAGCTGCTCACAGGCACCAACACCGGCGCCAAGAACGCCCCGCGCGCCGCCATGCTCGCACCCTCGGTTGCAGTTCGATGAATGATGCGTCAACGCACTTTGAGTCGCAGTAGCAGGTTTGACAGGGAAATATCGTACTTAAAAAAGATGACACAAGTTGAAGTGCTTGTTGGGATCGTTTTCGTCTGATCTCATGCGGCTGAAACGGAACGAGTGCCAGTATTCGCTAGCACTACCACTAAACAATATTTGCTCGTACAGTATAGGGCAGATGGAGGGCAAGGAGATCAGGAAGGTGTCGTTCCGCAGCGAGTGGACAAGCGCTCTCTCCAAGCAGCCAGAGCCATGGCGTGCGAAGCGCTGGTTGCAATTCCTACGCAAAGAGTGCAGACTCACGCTGCTGCTATTGATGCTCGGAGTCTCCGGTAAGCAACTGAAATGATAGTAGTGGTCTCGTGTTATTTCCTTAATTCGAGTATCATTGGCAGCATCTCTTGTGGACGATATCATCGACATGGTCGTGTTGGGCTTGAGTAAAACTCGACGGGAATTTTTAAACGCTACCACCAAGAACCAGTCCACGTACATTGATCTTATTGCTTGGAGCGCCTTCACAATTGTCGTTGCAATCGCTGGCGTAAAGTGGACGGAAGTGTTCGATCCAATGGCTGCAGGCTCTGGGATTCCTGAAATGAAAAGTATCATTTCGTACGATCATCGCGAGGACGCCAGTGAATATCTCCGAGCCAGGACGCTCATATCCAAGATTGGCGGACTAGCGCTTGCTTTAAGTAGTGGCCTCTCTCTCGGCAAGGAAGGGCCATTTGTACACACGTCGTCCATCATAGCACATCGACTCATGAAGCACGTGAAGTGGTTTTATCGAATCTACGAAAGCGACATTATGAGGCGACACGTCTACAATGCAGCCTGTGCTGTGGGTGTTACCTGCACATTCCGGGCCCCAATCGGCGGCGCGTTGTTTGCCATTGAGGTTACAAGCACAGTCTTCGTGGTTTCGGTAGGTCAAGCTAGTATTTTGTCGTTGTACAGTAGCTTAATCTCTTGCTGTTTTGATGTGCTTATCGTAGAACTATTGGCGTGCTTTCGTGGTGTCAATCAGTGCTCTACTAGCACGGCAGGCTGTCTACATGGTGCATCAAGACTCGGTTGCTGCATATCATCCGATGTTCCCCACAAACTTTGAGGCTGAGTCGTTCAGATTTGCCGAGATCCTCGCATTCGCAGTTTTGGCTGTGTTCACTGGTCTTCTTGGTGCAATGTACGCCTCCGTGTCGACAACCTTCAGACAACACTGGAGAGCGTGGACAGCAAAGAAGTCTGTCGTAGTGGTGTCATGGGTGTTGCTCATTCCACTCGCTGCAATCCTCTGCATGCCCGTGGGGTTGGGCCGTTTGTCGTTCAGCGAAACCTTAACCGATTTAATCAGTGATAAACCCACGCTGCCGGATCGTTGGCACGCCGACTTGTCCTTGTCTGTGTATATGGTCCTCCCCCTGGCTGGTTTGATCCGCTTGGTAGCGACGACAATATCCACAACTCTACCGATCCCTGCCGGTGATTTCGTTCCAACATTCATTGCAGGCGCCGCTTTCGGTCGGCTATTTGGTGAAGTTCTTCGTTTGATCTTCCCGTCAGCTAGAATCGTGGCCGGGGGATACGCACTAGCGGGTGGAGCTGGCTTCGTCGCCTCGACTACAAACACGACGTCCGTCGCAGTGATCGCCATGGAGTTCACTGGGCAGTTTGTATACACGATTCCGTTGATTCTGTCGACTCTTGTCGCCTCTGGGGTCGGCTGTGCGCTTCGAGTGTCCGTGTACGACAGCGTCATTGCGAAGAAAGGTTTCAGTTATCTATGCACGCTTGATCTCGAGGGCTTGAAGGCGCGCGACGCCATGCTGCGGCGGTTCCCTATTCTCACGCCTGACATAGATCTAGCACAGCTAAGACACACACTCAACACGGCAACGTCGACTCTTACACTGCCGATTGTCGAGAATCCGACCAGCATGATCTTCGTTGGCTGTGTAGCGCGCTGCGAGCTCGAGAATACCATCCGCTTGGTGACGGACAGCGAGTACCAAGATCCATTCTATCTTCGCTCTGCACTGAAGATGCCACAGCAAGCATACAACGCGATTCCTTTGGTAACTGAACCAAAGGAGGACGCAGACATTATATTAGCTGAATTCACATCCGAAGTCAAGCCAATACTTAGTGCCATTAAAGTTGTGTTCGACGTTCCAAACGCACGGAAATTTGTCCAAGAAGCCCCCCATGCACTGGTCCAACCGCTACTCGAGATCGACTCGACTGCGCTCCAAGTGGATCCTGACACGCCCCTACAAAAAGTTCACCTGCTGTTTGAGATGATCAAGTGCTCAAGCATATGGGTAACTCGGCAAGGTCGACTCGTGGGGCTACTACACCGCCAAAACCTGCATATCCGGGTCGCCGAACTCAAGCGTAAGGCATGTCCGTCCTTACCGGCTCGCTCTGGTCATTAACTACAAAAAACACAAGCATAACTCCGTATTGAAATGGCAAACACGTTAGTCGAACGCACGCGACTGGCTTGACAGTTTCTTGGTATTTTTGTTTGACGCTGCTGACCACTTTGTCGCTTGATCGCTCATCCAAAACCGATAATGTAACACGTCGAATCAATTCCCTAGAACTGCATCTCTGAGGAGAGCAGCAAAAAGAACAAGAACAACACAAAAATGAGCGTAATGGTTTAGATATGTACTCAGCAAAAAAGCATGAGTATAGTACAAATACAATAGCCTCGAGGGCAAGCAGCTACCTGCAGACTGCCTTTAAGTAGCGAATTAACTGCTTCCAGGAAGCTGCTGCCCAGGCATCAAAATGTCAAAGGATGGCTAACCTGTAGTGTTGTGGTGTCGCCCGCTCTTCTTGGAGTAAGGATAGCCCAGAATGCTCAGGGACTCGCGGCTGTAGCCACCGCTCTCGCGCATTGAACCGAGACTGTGCTGCGATGCAGACAGATCCATGTTCTGCGAAGCAGGCCCAGACGCGTAGCTGTCGCGCACCGAGTCCGTCCCGGCTGTTGTCTCCGTCGGCATGCTTGGTCGCGCGCTGAACGAGTAGTTATCCGGCGCGTTCGATCGGCCGGATTGCAGCCCCGTGCTGTTCGAAAGAATCGACTGGTTCGTCTGGCGAGGTGCTGAAGCGTAGCTGTCTGCTTCCGAGAGCATCGATTCGTTGTTGTAGCGACCAGACTCGCGGCCTGACGACCTCATGGAGTTCTGCTTGGTGCTCGGACGTCGCAGACTTGTGGCACGGACGTTGCTCTGAGGAGACGTCACCGTCACAGCGTACGGGTCAGCGGCACTGTAAGGCGCATACGCCTGAGAGCCATAGCGACGGGAATTGTCCGTTGACGTAGCACGAGCCTCCGACTCACGCATGTCGTCAATGTCGAAGCTGGATCGGTCCTCCTCAACGTCATCATCGTATTGGTGGAAGTTCGTGCCGGAAGCCTGACGCGGCACCACCGGGGCAGACAGAGTGGGGACAGTCTTAACGTTCGACACAGTCGAGCGACGAGGACTGGTGGCCATGCTGTTGCTGTAGGCGTACGTCGGGGCTACATACACAGGTTCTGGCGACGGAGAACGCTCCACTGACGAGTTGTGCGAGTAGGGCGCAGACACGTTCGATGAATTGTGCGAGTAGGGCGCTGACACGTTCGACGAGTGGTCAGACGAAGCAGATGACGGCGGTGAGTCTACAGCGACCGATGCAGCAATAACAGAGGCAGGGACGGTGGCAGCGGGGGTCTCAGGACGAGCGGAGGGCGTGTCGTGCGCGCTAATATCACTCAGACGCGAGCTTGGAGCCTTTGAGCTGGCAGCAGGTGAGAACGACTCGGCGTAGTCCACTGTAGGTGAAGCCGGGTGGTGGTGGTTGTCATCGTTGTCGTGGAAAGTTGAGGCTCCCGCTGCTACAGCCTTGGGCTTGGCTGTAGGGGACAGATACTGGTTCTCCATGTCGTTCTCGGGGTCTTCCAGATCTTTCGACGCACGGTTGCGACGACGGATAAGGATGACGGAGCCCACAATGATCAACAACGCACCTACAGCGCCACAGACACCGCCAATGATGGCTCCAGCGGATGAACTCGAGGAAGAGATGGTGCTTCCGTCGACACCGTTCTCCGTGGATGCCGAGTTGAATTGCACGCTGGATGTGGCACATCCGGACGTGCTGGTGAACGCAAATGAGCTGTTCAGTGTCTCGCCATCGTCGGATGTGACTGAGAACTCGACACTCTTGTACCAAGTACTGGAGGACGAGCCCGAGTTGGCGGAGTACAGGAAGGTCGAGGACGTGCTGGTGGCCGTGACGCCATCGATCGTCACACCCGTGATGACTTTCTGCGAGTTGTAGAACTGAAGCGGCACGTACGTTGCCGAGGCGCCGTCCATGAGGCAGGCCTTGATGTCGCCCGACATGAGCGACGTGGGGCACGTATCGAACTGGTACGAGACCTTGGTAGTTGTGTCCGTCGTGTCGAGTTCCAGCGCCGCCATCGCGTCTCCTGACAGCTGCACTGTACCAGACGCGCAGCCGTCACATACGTCCAAGACGTACGCAGTGGTGGTCTTTGTCGAGTCGTCGTCACGTGTGATAGTAATGCAGCGAGCACAAGCCTCGTTGAGCGCGTAGTCCTTGCTGGGCACTGACGCGTAGAACTTGAAATTGTCCGAGGACTCCGAGATGCCCTTGAGGCGACACGTGCCGTACATCGGGTCGCTGATGTTGTAGACAGACACAGCGCCGGACGCGGAGGCAGCGTCCGCTGCCATTGCCGCGGCTGCGATCACCGTCCAGCCTCGCATGGTGGGGAGTTCTGTGTGTCGGTGCTGTGATCTGGTTGTGGAGATATACCGCTGTCACTCGCTTCGAGGACAGGCAGGTTGGGAGGGAGAAACGCGCCAAGATGGGAAGGAACCAAGCTGCTACCCAATACTGGACGAGGATTGTCGGTCCCTAGGCGCTTTCGGTTGTGAGTCGCGAGTTGAACGCCTTCACGGTCTGAGCTGGCTCCTCATGTGGGGTCGGGGTAGAAGTGTGTAAGATTCGGCCACCGAAGTCGAAGAGAGGCGGCCAGGGATGGGGGTCGAATTATCATAGAGCAGCTGCAGAAGCTGCTGCCACCGGATGCTCTGGTCAGCCGTTGCGCCTTGATTGTGGCTCGCGCCGTTGAAAGCGTGGTTGAAACCAGAAAAAGCTCTGGTAAGATCGAGCGGCGATAGCGATGGCTGGTAGCACGTTTGTATTGCGTTGCTGCTACAATGCCAACTTTGAATGATCTACTGCTACAACACCAACTTTGAATGGTCTATTGACTCCAAGATGAGCACTGCTTGGGTTCTGTTCGACATCGCGAACGCCTTGGGATCGCCTGTCATCGCGCCATCGTTCGCTGCTTCGGTTTCGCACCTTCGAATCTGAATGCCGCGAGCACTGCAACGAAGCTCGAGAGATAGGATATCACCGTAGTTTTGAAGCGTAGTGGATTCGGCGTTCGAGCGTTTAATAGGCTCAGCTGATAGCGGTGGCTACCCTGACATATTAAGCGTCAACACGATCTTGTTTCGTCAGGAAATCAAGCAGATACCGTAAATTTTGCGTGGATGTTCATTTTCCTCTTGACCATTTTTTCGGTCGTCTTTCCACTCCAAGACTCTGCATTTTAGGTTCACCCCGACAAACGCATCGTGTTCGGTGGTGCTTGCCGAATTGTCATGGAATCCGTGTTGGGCTCCCACTCGGGGCGTCACCACGCCATGTCCGCCACTTCGCCGAGCCGCAAAACGTACTCACCACGCTAGCATCAGATGCTACGGTAGAGGAAACTCCTTGTGTGCAATGCGGCGTTACGAACATGTACAATCGCGAAACCACAAACACGTGCTGAAGTGGTGACAGCTCCTCACACAAACAGTGTGGGGCGTGTGACAGCGGGGGAGTTAGCTGTGCTGTATTATCGCATTGGTCGTGCGCGCGGGCCGTCGCGACTCGAGCTTCGGAGAGGCCATCCAACTGAATATCCGTCTCTCATCTTTTTTGGTGCACTCGGTGCGTAAGTGAGGACTAATTACTATCGACGGCAAGTAGGACAGCTATGGCCGATAGGCTACAGTATCGCTGATTGATCCAGCGTCGGCAAGCAGGTCAAACACAAGGAGTTGCCCTTTGCACTGATTATGGTCTCGATAAGTTGATGCTCCTTCGCCTGGTTATGCTCGCGTTTCTAAACAGCAGAATTGGTGTAAACTTGATGTGGCAGACGCATAAGAGCAACGATCGGTGAGCTCTAATGGCCACACTGCCGAAAGGTGACGATCCTGTTCGATGCGTGGTAGGGATTTAAAGAAGCTGAAAGCTGGTTGTGTGTGTATGTGTTGCATGAGTAGGATCAATCGAGAAGCTTTTGCGTGAGGTGGTGGGCGACGACGTGCCGATCTCGAAGGAGACGATCGACTGGGTCAACGAGTGTGCTGGGGGTAAAATGATCCATGCAGTGCGGCATTACAGCTCTGGGGTGAGGCGCTGCTAATTAACGCGACTTTGTTGCTATTTAGAGCTCTTACGGGTGATCGGACTTGAGGCCAACACAATTGCTGAGAATGCTTCAAAGAAAGAGAATTATCGTATCTCACAGGAGCATGCGATGGCTGCGTTGGAGGTAGCAGAGAACGGCTTGGATAATCGAACTAATGCATTTTTATTGACTAGGCGTGTTCTGATGCAGAACCTTGGGATGCAGCGATATGCACAAGAAATCCAGGAGCTTCAAGGATCGATGGCGCTAGAGTCGCAGGTGAATAAGGCTCAGAGGTCACAACAGCTCTGCCATTTGGTTAACGCCGTTGTTGTTGCAGAAGATGAAAGAGCGGATAGCGTCTCGGAAGGCAGCTGCGAAAACCACCTCACGCGACGAGTTGTTGGCTGAACAGACGGCATTGTTCAAGCAAGCGTCGTTGAAGGCAAGCAGAGAGGGGTGGTAAACAGCGGCTAAGGTCATAAGCCTGCAACAACTGGGTATGGAGGAACATGCAAAATATATGCACGATGGTCCAGCAATATCCCATTCAACATTATGATCACCACCATTTTGAAGATATTGATGACAATTCACGAACGAGGATATTTTGCGGATACGATCGTTCTCCTTTTTAGTTTGAGCAGGGCCGGTAGCGCTCACTTGAATTCAACAATGACGCCTCGATGATCAGACGCATATATGGGGCTCGACGCGTGCAGCATGCCGACATCATCCGGGAAGTCCTTAGTGTCTTCTGTGGGCTCTTGGCCAATGATCTTGCACTCCTTCACCTGTCCTTCACCACGGTACAGCACGAAGTCGATACGCTTTGATGGGTTGTCGCTAGGGAACGTGAACTTGTGCTGACGGTCGTCCAGGTCTGTAGAGCGAGGTTCAGCTTCCTCGTGTACTTCCAACCATGCATCCTTCATGTCTGTCGTCTGACCCAGAAGTCCAGCTTTCCCACTGAGGAAACGAATGCCGAGAGATTGAGGCTCCGAGTTCAGATCTCCAAGAAGCACCTGCGTTTTGCCCTTACCTTGGCGCATGTACTCCCAGATCTCGATCTTTGTCTGCTCTCTGGATCGTTCACTTAGCGACAGGTGCGTCACGTACACATCGATTTCGCCCCAGTGAGGGTAGTCTATCACTGCATGAAGGCACAGTCGCTGGTGTGAGTCGTTCGGATCATTCGGATCGCGGCTCAGCAGTAAGTAATCTGTAGAAGTGATCGGAAACTTGGACCAAATAGACGGGCCCTCTTCGATGCGCTCATAGGGCATTCTAGAGTTACTATAGCTCATAGCCGCTTGATATACGTACTGGTATCCAGGAAGACGATCAGCTAAGTGCTTTACTTGTGCGTGGTTGCCGGGATCTCCGAATACACCGTCATAGCGCACTTCTTGAAAGCCAATAATGTCGGCGTGCGCTTCCTCCACGAACTTCACGAGATGGTCCAGTCGCTTCGAGTACTGATCCCACCGACGACCTGAACCATACACGTCTGACGACGGGTTCGTATTCCAGACATTATACGACAAGATACGCGGACCCGAATGACCAGCCGAGCATTCGTCTTCACTGACACCGCATTCAGCATCTGTCTCTCCATCAGCATCCTTCTCTATTGGTGCAAATGTGTGCTGGAAAACATTGTGTTCTGCTTCCCGATCCAGCGCCACAACCACTCGGTGCCTCAAATTGAACTTGGCGTCCTCCAGCGTCAAGTAGAAATTGAAGCCGAACGTCACGTGGCTAGTGAAGCGGTACATTCGCCCGTCGGCTCCAGTGCTGTCCTGCAAGATGGACATCTCCGACTCGCCATTGTCACCCGTCACCTTCAACGGGAACATGGTTGCCTGCACCAATTTAATCTCAGGCGACACGTGGACACTCGCGTGCGCCTTAATGGACTTAATAGCTGCCTGGAATGCCGCCTGGACGGCGGAGTCCGTCGTTATATCAGCTGGAAAGATCGGATCAAGTAGCACATTTCCATACAAAAGTGCGTTTGTGCTGGGCGCGTCTGCCTGCAGCTGGAAGAGATCAATAGGCTCAAAGCTTTGACGCTTCAAATGGATACCACCCGGCTCCGAAGACAGATATCTGCCCGTGAAGCGAGCGCCCCCGGCAAGCGGCGGCCAGAAATCCCAGCGTGGCAAGTCCCCGAATGGATGTTGAGCTGCCGCAGAGACGGAGAAGCAAGCGAGCAGCGCCAGGAACGATCCGTGCATTGTCATCGTGTCCTGTCCGGATAATCAAATCCGGATATAACAGATCAGAGTGATGGTCCGTCACTTCAACATCCGCAAAATGGGACGGCAAGAGGTGATTCCGCAACGGAGTGCGCGCGCGGAAGACGGCGCCACTGACGACAGGAAGGACGCCGCGTACTGGAGTCGGGCGTTTGTGAACCCTTCTAGAAGCCGCCAGGTCAGTCGGCTATGGCCGGAGAAGGCGCTAGTGCTGACCGATGGCGTGCAGCTCTTCGCACTCATGTGGCAGCTATCGCAGCCCTGGCCCTGGCCTGCTCGCTGGCTGGAGGCCACCCGTTGGGCCAACGCATTCTCTCTTGACTTCTTCAGTTTCCGAGCCACAGGCGCTGCCATGGGCTCCACGTCGCAGTCATTTTCACTATGGGGTGAGATGCCTCAATATTGGCTCTACGCTCTCGCGTGGGCGCTCGTGCCGTGGACTGGAGTGTTGATGCTGCAAGTGTCCAAGCGAGTGTGGAACAAACAGGGACGCAGTGACTACTTGCTGCTCGGTGTGACGTGGGAGAATGTGTTACTGCAGATACTACAGTTCCTGTATGTGCCTGTGGGGCTGACCGTGTTGCGATTGGTAAACTGCAATGCTGATGGCAAAGTGTCGGTCGATCCTATGGGTATGACCTGTGGTAGCGTGGGGCATGTAATGGCAGTACTGGTTATTACATGTATCATGGGTGGGGGCTTTCTGGTTGGACTCCCGTGGACATTACGCCGCCGTATTCGAGAGTCGATGGTTCATTCGAGCGTGGAGAAGCACGAACGCTTTATACAGGGAAAGGAGCTGGAGTTTATACTCGGCACGTCGGATACATATCTGGAGCTGTACATGCCACAGTTTGCGTCTTTCCATAGATACTCAGCGGAGATGCCAGTGCAGATGTGCATGATCAAGTTGTTGCTGATGCTTGTCTTCTCAGTTTTGCGGTCGCCATGGCCTTCAATGGTGAATCAGGGGATGCAAGGGTCGATTTTCTTCTTTGTAGTTGTGGGTACGGCTGTGTATAGGACGTGGAGATTTCATTATCGCTGTGTGTCCACGTCTCACTTAGTCATTCTCGTCGACTGGATGCTGGTCGCCAACGGAGTATTTGGTAGGAATTTTTTTCTGATGATAACTGTTTTGTGTTGTTGTCACTGATTTGAGACGATTTGGTAGTGTTGCTTTGTGCAAATGGTGTCCGCAGTGCACTTACAGTGTCAACATCGGTGACGTCATCGTTGACTTTCCTGAATGCATGTTTCTTGGTTATGATCAGCTTGAAGGGGCTACGTGACATTGTATTGTTTAAACTGTACCCGGAGTCTGCCAAACTAAAAGGGTTGTGTTGGCCAACCCATGGCCAGATGAAGGATATTGTTGACTATGGACCGCAGGTAGAATCCTGGGTGAAAGCGATTCACAATGCGCAGAATACCATTCTCGCGTCGCTTCTTGTTATACCGTCTATGCGGTGTTGCGAAGACTTAGAAACCGTGCTAAACCAAGTTGAACTCTGTTATAAAGAAGCAGGTAGCTGTGATCACTTGTTAATGGTATGCTATCCTGTGTCACAGTGCCTCGCTGGCTATACTGCTAATTGTTTTGAATTTTCAGGGGCAACTTTACGAGGTCTCGATGCACGTCCATGAACTCTACGTGGAGGCAGTAGCGTCAAGTCCTTTTCATCGCATCGGTTTTCCAGCAAATGATATGACCGAACTTACAGGCGTTCTGCAACGACGGAAAGATCGGCAACTACTGCTTACAAGTCGAACTCGACGTGTCTTGAACAAGCTAAATATTGCAAGGAGCTGGTCGCATCGAGCACGATCGTATGCATTTGAGAATACTGGCTGGAGCCGTGCACGCACTGCAGTTGGCGTTCAAAAGTTTCTGGACGCAGAATCTGACAGTCACCAGGCTGGCTCAGCGCCAGCAACAACAGATTGGAAAGCTGTGAATTCTGTTTTCAGCCTGAAATGCCCCGAAACAAAGGATTCGGAACTTCTCATATCAGTGCTAGCGTGGAGCGAGTCGCTAGACTTAGTAAAGTGGTGTGCAATGCAAGATTTTTATTCAGTGGGGAAGAGCCCTCAAGAGCAGTACTTCTCGCTGAAAAATGCGAGGCAGTTTGGAATTCAAGGAGGAATAGTATCGTGTGGAGTGGCAGACAGCAGTTTCGCTGTTTTACAAGCCTTGTCCATCGGTGTCACTGAATCAGATGCTCTGTTAGCATCTACCGATGGTACTTGCTACTGCACTTGTCTTCGTTTTGTTATTCTTTGTTGCTAATGCAATCTTGTGCAGACGAAATGCTCCGACCAAACACTCCAGCTTTGCTGTAAATAGTCTTCAATATGTAAGTGATCACATGAGATCTTGCCAATACTAACGCTTCGTTGATTGGATTCAAGTCACTGCGAGGGCTTCAAAGCTATTGTTCCAGCTAACAAGAATGCATTCGTGGTGCGGGGTGCGTTTACTGATGGAGATCTCTGAGGAGCTGTTGCAGAAGAGTTATAAACGCTTAGGCGCGACTGACGAGATGACGCTGGGCGAAGTAGCTGCGGGTTTGAACAACCTGACTTTGGTCTCTTGGTTGCTGTTGCTCCTTCGTAGTGGCCATAACGTTGACTGTTCGAGGCTTCAATTGTATCCTGGGGCAAGCCAAAGTGCTGGAAGTACTTTTTAGCGTTAAAGATGATCGATTTGCCGATATTCAGGTTCATACTCTCCAGATCTCGATCACGATCAAAGGCATCACTGAAGCTCTCAAGTGTTGGTTTGAAGTTTGACTCATTTGAATCTGTGGACGATGGTATATGATCATATTCCTGGCCAGCCAGAATCGTCTGAATGATGCCGAATACTCGATCATACGCTTCTTGTTTGATCTCTTGCACCCACTACATGAACAATGACAACAATTTGGCACCAATGATCGAAGTCAAACAAGACAAGTGAGGTGAACTTACCACTTCGACAAAAAAGAAAATGGAGCAGCAGAATCGATTGAAGTCAAGGTTTGGAAACGACGACGCATCACGGTGCCACATCTTGGCCAGAACGGCATCGTTTGTCTCTTCGTCCCAGCATATTGTCAACTCATACAACAATGTCGAGTACATTCCCTCATACTCTTCGCGTGTCATGGTATTCGGATCAGTTCGATGCAGCAGCTTCCAGCACGCTTTCATAGCCTGAAGAGTTCGTCGGTGGTTGCGAATTTGTGTTCGCTGTCGAAGCAGATACTCGTGAAATTGCTGCACGTGCTCCATGTCATCCAAACGCTTTCAAACGGGCTGAATCCAGTTCTGTGAAATGATGTGATCTGTAAGGCGATTGCACTTCTTACCATAGCCAAACGCGAATGAATTCTCATCTATAGATAGGAAGTATGCGCTTGCTACTGTATTACAATGGTGGGGGTATTTTCAGGACTTCAACAAATAGCTGAGTATCTCGTCCAAGCTGCCTGATGCGAGAATGGGAGAATCGATTGAAGCTGCAGAACGCGTCCGAGTGGTGGTCCGAGTCCGACCTCCGAACGATCGCGAGCTTCAACAGAACTCATGTCACCATGTATGTTGCCCAATTTGTGTCAAACGCTGATAACTCATGTAACCTCTTACCAATGTTTGCTCTGTTTTTGGCTGCCAGACTCTCACTGTAGACGATGAAGGAGGACAAATCTTTGTATGTAAAAGGAAATCGGAGCAGGAGGTAGAACGTGAACTTCGGTACTCTTACGATCGAGTATTCAACGAGATGACAAACCAATCCGATGTTTTCGATTACCTCCGCGACGGCGTGCAACAAGTAGCCCAAGGCTTTAACTGTACAATTTTTGCTTATGGCCAGACAGGAACAGGTAAAACGCATACGATGTTGTGAGTAAATACGTTGGCAATTGTTGCGTTTCGAGTTGTTGGCTAACTCATTCTACTCCGTAGAGGGCAGGATTTAGAGCACCATCTCGCTACGACCAGCTTAAGCCCGGAAGCCCCCGAATCGTCTCCAACTTGGGGAGTGATCCCTCGCGCGATCGAGAGTTTGTTTGAAGAGCTCCAGTCAATCAGTCGCCACGGCTCGGCTGGTGTCGTCCACTGCTCTTATATGCAGATTTACAACAACGACGTCTATGACTTGCTACAGGAAAACAAAAAACGTATGAAAGATCCACTTGCTGTCCGAGAAATGATCAAGGGCAATGCCAAGCAGATCTACGTTAGCGGACTCTCCGAGTTTCGCGTCACGAATCTCCAAGAAACTTTGCAACTATTGAAAACAGGCAATCGAAATCGAGCGATTCGCGCAACAACGTACAATGAAAAAAGCAGTCGCAGCCACGCATTATTGCAGCTCGCAATTGAAGTCGAGTCGCGAGGATTAGAGAGCGCAACGACTATTATTCGGCGAGCAAAACTCAATCTCGTCGACTTGGCCGGGTCCGAGAAATGGGACTCAGCTGTTGTTACAGGTAGCGATCGCAGCAAAGAGTTGACAAGCATTAACCAGAGTTTATCAGCTTTGGGGAATGTCATTTCGGCTCTCGTTAACCCAAAGCGGACACATATCCCTTATCGTGACTCCAAACTGACACGTCTACTTCAAGATAGTCTCGGAGGCAATACTCGAACGGTAGTCATTGCAACCATCTCTCCGTCCGAGTCCGCAGTTGACGAGACCATTTCTACGCTTCAATTTGCAGACCGAGCTAAGTCCGTGACAATTCGAGTGAAAGTGAATGAATTAGTGGACGATGCGATTCTGTTAGCACAGGCACAACGAGAGATTTCCCGGCTGAAATTATTGTTGAAGCAAAGCGGTTCTCACCAGCAACTATCCGCACTTGAAGAACAGGTAGCACGATTGACAAAGGAAAAGACAGCTCTTGTTGCTGAGAATCAAAAGCTTCGACACACCGTTGCGAGCCTTCGTAAAACTTCTTCGAGGAAGGACGCTGGACAGGGTGAGAAAACAACTCCGCAGCATCTCTCTGGAAAGCTACGAGATAATACAGCGATCGTAGCAGCACATTCAGCTCCTCCAGCTAACCGAAATAGTGTCCAAGGTATCGACGACCGACCATCATCTGCACTGCAATTGAGCCAATTGCGACTTGATCTGAAGGCTCTTGGAACAAAACCAGTCGTGATTACAGCGTTTACTGACGGGAACACGGAAAATGAAAGACTCGAACAAGCTGCGAAGGCTCAGGAGCTTATTCTGCAAGAAATTCAAACCGAACGGCGCGAGCTGGAGCGACAGCTTGAACTTCTGTCACATTCAGGGGACAACCAAAGGGCTGATTCATCCGGAAGTGGTGAAAACTTGGATGGCACGGAAGATCCCTGTCCGATCTGCGGGAATGACATCGACGATCACAACGATGCAGAACTAGATCGCTGTATTGAGTTGGAGATGAATTTGATCAAGCAACAGCATGCGGTCACAGCCAAGCCCGAGTTACTGCACAGCACGGGGGGCAAGGTGCGGCAACAACGACCTAACAGCCAGAGTAAGAGAACGACCCCGGGCCAAGTTAGTGGACCTCGAATTAGAGCAGCTCCTCGTTCTGCTACGGCGGATCCGAGACTTCGTCGAGTCTCCACCTCTGTCCACGGCAAATCAAGTCCGTACATTTCGAACGCAGTTCGAAAACCTTCGACTCCACCACAAGCGAAAAATGGTGATGACAGGACCAACGGTGTATCTGAAAGACAGTCAAAAGAAGCGTTTATTCGCTCTAACACGGACGTCAACAACCAAAGAGATAGTCAGTCTTCACCACCGCCACAGATACCAATTCCCATTCTGCGCCAAGGACACAAGGGATTGAGAGCCTTGAAGAAGTTCCGGGCGACATCTCCATACAATCACGCTATACCTCGTAAGGAAAAACGAACGACGCTGCCAGTTGCGTCAGTGTCGACTTCAAGCAACAGTAACGGAGACTGTAGCCACTCTATCGTCAATTCGGTGCGCGACATTGGGCTGGAGCTGAGCGTGTATAAATTCCGGTGCGTTTATTTCTTAGTCAATGGTGTTAGTCTTGGGGAGTTGTTTATTCGAGTTGTTTTCCTCGCAATTTTACAGATATGATTGCTGGTACAATTGCACTATTGTGGGCTTTGATCGGAAACGACGAATGCACTGCTGTCAATATGACTGCGGTGACAAACAATGGCAGGATCTCTCGGGGCACAAGGTCAAGGTTATTGGTAGATCCGACAATTCCAGATAGGAGCGATGTGTGGTAGGTAAATTATTAGGCCAACGCGGCCATGAAGACTGAACCTGAGCACGGTGTGAGGTGCAAGGTTTTACTAATGTGCGATTCTCTACTGGACTGGAAGGCATGGAGCCGATGCGCCATGGATCTTGGCAGCGAATCACTGCTAGCACACAGATGAGTGAAAGGTTCAGTCGCTCACATGCTGCATATACAGCAATAGAGTAGCATAGAGATAGCCATTATCCACCCTAACACTTGTGCTTACATGTGGTATTTCCACCGAGCGCGTCTTGAAGTAATCGAGTCAACGTCGAGGACTTGTGCATTGTCGCTGATCGACGCCTAATCCGAGCGCGTTAATGACATTGCCAAAAGCAACAGGCCCGTGTTGATTTGAATACTCTCCCCATCCGTTCACCTTCAGCGTTCACTGCCCGCTAGATCCACAAACGTTAGTTTTTGATACGATCACGGTATCTGACTCTGTAACTCAAGACCCAAAGTCTTCTCCAAGAGCCCAACTGCAGTCTTAACCGTTTCTGTCGTCACACCCTCTATCTTCTTCATGTGAATAAATGCAGAAACCTCGGGATCAAGCCTTCGTCGATGTCCTCTGTGGTGGACTCCACGCAGCTTCCTCGCGCTGCCATCAGTTGGTAAAGATTTCCCAAATGAATTGCTAGCTCCATCGTGTACGTGTAGATAGATGGCGTTCCCTGCACCTTTGGACTTGTTAACACACGTTGCGGGCCAGTTCACGCGGCAGCATGGGATGAATCTACACGGTAACACGGACGCTGCGGGGCTCTAGCGATGTCCAAATTGCAAAGTGAAATATTGAGTCTGCGAACTCTGGAGGAAAGCCAACAACCAGTTTGATAGCCACCAAACATGGGTGTCAGTTGCAATGCAAGTGATCCCAGACTCCAAGCTCATTCCCGACCTGAACGCTCATAGAAGGCCAATCACGCAAGCACTTTCACTCAACACCACACCATCGCCGATACAGATCACGTTGTGTGATTCACAAGACTTGAGCAATATCATATGGATCTATGTATTTACTTGCCATACTTATGGCGATGGAGCGCACCAGGCAAGCGGCTCAGCACCTTAAGCCACGGGGTCTCTACGATGATCAGTTCGTTGTCTGCAACGAAGTCGACGAAGGATAACGGACGGTATCGGTTGACGACACGGCAGAATCCATCCTCTAGCTCTACCAGTTCCCCCTCCGCAGCATCATTCTTGCTGTCCGACTCCGTTCCAACGCTCATAGCACGACGACGAGTCTTCTTTGGCGGACTCTTGATGGACGCTTGCTTGCCCATGTTAATCTGGTAAAGACTCACCTGCGAGTAAAGGTACAGGAAGTCTGGATTGGCCGGATCGAACGCCATTCCCTTAAGGTTACGGCCTTCCACAAGCTCCTTGGGGAACTGCTCGTGGTTCTGACGGTACCATTCAGACAGTCCCTTAGTCTCCACGTCGTAGCACACGAAGCTGTTGGACACGAGCGTGACCACCAAGGTCTTGCCCGATGGATTGAAGCTCATACTTGTGTGCATCTCACTGGGGCGAGGCAGCTGGCAGTAGAACTGCATCGAGTCCAAGTTGTAAATGGCAATGTTGTTAGATGCATCACCAGTGGCCAGCCATTGGCCGTCCGAGGAAATAGTGAGCGAAACCAGCGGAGACGGCACGCTAGCAGACTCCTCTCCAGTCGTGGCCGGGGTGTCAACTTCGAAGGTCTTAAGAACTTCCATCTTGGACAGGTCTAGAACGCGGATCTGGTGCGACGACGACGCGATCACTAGACGAGTGGAGTCGGGTGAGAAGGCCAACACGCGAGCTGGTCCCTTGACACTATGAGGCAGCGTAGTGACCTTCTTTGGCTGGAAATCCTGCTCCGTGTCTAACTCGAAAAGCTTCAGCTCCTTGGAGTTCGAGCAGGCCACAAAGCTGGCGTTTGGGGCCAGGGCTGAACACGACAAATTCAGGGCTTTGCCTACGTTTAACTCCAGTAGCAATTTGCGCTTCTTGGTGATGGCGCCGGTGGTGGCCGACTGCGTGGCCAAGCGCCACAGATCCAGAGACGTCGACTTCTGCACCATTAGCACGCGCTTCTCGTTGGCCAGCGCGACGGACTGTCGGTACGGCATCGACGCGATCTTGGCTGGCCGGCTGGCACCGAAACTGTTGCCACGGTACCACACGAGCTGAGTGTCGATACCGCCGGAAACCAGCACTGGCTTGGCGTTGGCCGACAGCGCCAGTGCACGTACATCGTGGCTGTGACCACGGTGGCTGTACGAGTAGGCCCAGGTGGCGTTGCCGCTGTCGGCCACCGAGCGACGGAACTCGACGACCTGGTTATCGACGCCTGAAGCGAAAAGCGTGTTGTTACTCTGGCTCACACAGATGGCCAGAATGTCGGCTGTCAGGTGCGAGAACTTCTGCAGAAGTGTGCCTGTGGGAGCGTTCCAGAAGCTCAAGTTGCCGGCCGAGTCGCCGCTCACCAGCGTCAGGTCGTCCAGCACCACGAGCGACCAGACCACCGACTTTTGCTTGGTCAGCGTCTCGAGCGTGATACGCGACTCGTTGCGGCCAGTCACGGCGTTCCAGCAGTGGATAATGCCGTTCTCACTGCCGGAGAAAATCTTGTGTGCCTGAGAATGCCAGGCCAGCGACACGACACGGCCGCCGGTGGTGAGGAAGCTCTTGCTGAAGTAGAGCTGGCCGTCTGCGAACGAGAAGAGGCGGATGCGGCCGTCCTCGCAGCCCACGGCCAACTGCTGCGTCTCTGCGTTCATGACCATGCTCCAAATGGGGCCACCGTTCGAGTCCGTCACGTTCTTCCGACACAAAGATTGCAGGTCCAGTTCCCAGAGGGTGCCGTCCAATGACGACGCGAACAAGCGGTCGCTGTCCGGGGTCCAGCACAGCGCCGACACTTGGCTCTGGGCCGATCCGGCCAGCACGAACTTGAGGTGCCATTTGCTGCTCACGCTCCAGATCTCTACGTCGCCTGTGGCACGAGCAACGGCCAGCTGATCGCCGGCAGCGTTGAAGCACAGCGCGTGCACGGCCGACGGCATCCAGTCCACGAAGCGGCAGCGGTGTACCTGCAGCGTCGACGAGGTGGCCGATACATCGGCGGCGTCGCTCGCCTTGCGCTTCTTGGCAGTCTTGGGCGTCATGGCGAGCGGGCACGTACGTAGAGATGATGGAGCACGAATGACTAGTGAGCAAGATGCTTGGTTGGCTGCGGCGAATTGTGGAACAGCATTGGCTGAAATGAGTGCCATATTTGCAAAATGGCCTGCCACAATTAAAAAAAAGTGATAGTTTTTTTTGCTTATCTCTCTGGACTAATTTTTCTGGGGACCCGCATCTTGGTTTCAGTATGCTTCAAATATAAAATTTAATAGCGGGACCCGCGTCGGTTTGTGATGCGTTACATCGCGATCGACCTAAAGTGGCGCAAAGTAATGATTAAAAAGCAGCTTTATAAGAAAAAGCTGCTTTTTCGCTCACATAGCATCTATGAGCGTGCACTCGATATTAAGCAAAATTAATGGCACCATCTTCGCCTGCAGCGCGCGAACAGATTTCCTGCCGCGCGTACCAACCCGGGAGATCTACAACGAAGTGGTTAAGGCCTACTAGACATAGGGCCCCAACCTCAAGCTCCGAGAGGATCCAGACAGGAAACCAGAATCGAACCACAGGTCACCTGGCCAGGAAATATCGACAAGCCGTGGCAGACGCTATCGCGTGTGATCAACTCACTCGCGAGTTCTGGAAAAGGAAGATAGAATGGTCCAATTAAGGCAGTAAACTCGCTCGGGTGATAACACACGCACTCTTATCATCTGCTGCGTGACTCCAAGCGACAGATTCAGTGAGAAAGCCAAGAATGCGCTGCAGTGTGCAGAGGCTAGATGACCGGGCCCAACGCCGACGGCTGAAACGAGACGTGTACAACCTCAAGAAACTCGTCAACTCGGAAGATCTCGAGTGCTTTGAAGGCGGAGAATGAGGTGTTAAGACCAACAGGAGAAAGAGATGGTTAGGCTATATGGGACTCATCGTCTGGGGAATTTCCTTGCCAGCTCTAGGACTCCAGAGCTGTTTCGTATCTACGAAGATAACGAGAATACTGGGGAAAAAGCCTGTGAGCAAGAAAACAGAAATTGGAGGCAGCAAGAACGTACTCGATCTCATTTCTGTTGTGTTGCGAAGTTATCGTGACAACGAGCACCTGGACAAGTTGAACGAGATGGGAGTTTTACTTGATGGCTTGGAGTGTCGTCATGTGTTTGCAGCTCTAGCGGATAAACGAAGCTATGCCGATCAATTTTTCCAAGGCCAACGCTCTCGTCAGAGAGATGATGTTGAATTGGTGTCCACGCAGGAAGAAATAGCAGTGGAAAGGAGTCGCAATCAGACATAGAAGACGAGTTCTTAGCTAATGGAAGAACTGGACGCACTTCGTTTTCAACTAGAGACGCTGAAGCTCGAAGCCACGAAATCCAGTCAACGCTTCGACAGTGAAAAACACCAACTCGAGGTTGTTATTGAGACACTGCAATCAGATCTTCCACAGCCCGATGCTGAGGAATATATCAATCTACTCAGCAGACGGGGAAGTTGGAGACGCTTGCGGAGGAATTTAAAGCATCGCAGACGGTTCTTCAACTGGCAGTGGCGAAGCGTGAAGACACGCAAACCATCGAGACGGAGATGCAGTCGAAAGAGCTTGGAGGGGGAACTTGGACAAGAACTAAGGAACATCAAGCAGGCAGTGGAACAGGCCTGTTTATGAGAGAACGACACAGGAGAAGAGGAGCTACAGGCTGAGGTTGAGAATAGCGCTGGAGAAGGAGCTTCAGGAAGAAACGGAGAGAGTCCGTGAGGAACTTGAGACTTTGCATTGTCAGGGCTATGAGATGAGTGATACTTTGGTCGAGAAGGAGCATGCAATTAAAGTCCTATAAACTCGGCTGGATGTGAAGATCATAGCGATTTCTCAGATGTTAAGAAAACTTGAAGCACTTCATGATTTCGTCTTGGAGCAGTGTACCAGGGACGCGAAGATCGATTCTGACTGCGCCAACAGCTCCGCGGGTGACCCGAACTCAGCCACCTGGCCGACGTCCATGACCGCGATCTTGTTGCAGTGCATGATCGTATTGATGCGGTGCGCAATGATCAGCACGGTCTTGTCGGCGAACGTCTGCCGGATGGTGGCTTGGATGAGCGCGTCGGTGGCCGTGTCCACGTTGGCGGTAGCCTCATCCAGTACGACGATCTTGCTGTTCTTAAGAAGAGCACGACCGATACACACGAGTTGACGCTGCCCCACCGACAGGTTATCACCACACTCAGACACCTCAAAATCGAGCCCCGCACCCCACTTGGCCAGACTGTCAGCCATGTGAACCTGCTGCAACACGGTCCAGATCTCAGCATCCGTGTACTCGCCGAACGGGTCCAAGTTCTCTCGTAATGGTCCACTGAACAGAACGGGATCTTGCGGGATGATGGCGAGGCTGCGTCGCAGGTCGTGCAGCTTGAGCTTCGAGATGTCCAGCCCGTCGATAACCACGCTACCGCTATCGAACTCGCAGATGCGGAACAGCGCGATCATGAGTGAACTCTTACCAGCTCCCGTGCGTCCGCAGATTCCGACCTTCTCCCCTCCACGAATGTCCATACTCACTCCACGCAACACCAGTGGCAGCTCCGGCCGGTACTTGAGGCACAGGCTGTCAAACTTGATGGCACCTTGCGAAGGCCACACAGCGCTGTTGATCGGAGTGCAGTCGGGTGCGTCTTCTTCATGTGGAATATTTCGGAAATGCAGCAGTCGCTCCACACTCGTCATGGCGCTGTCAACCTGGTCAGCAGACCATGTGACCCATTGCACCACAGCTGTCAACATCAACGAGTATGTGAGCGAGAGACCCGCGGTCATTGCGCTCAGCTCGCCATTCGTCGACACGAGATATGCCGTGACAATGACGATAATAACCACCGACAGCATGTCAAGCCGTGCCGCTAACCATCGACCTGCCGACCAGTACGTGATGTACATGCTAGCGTTTTCATCCACCACCTTCTTGTTCAGGCGTTCAAACGTGTCTCGCATCTT